CTTGTTTGCTGTTGACCCCCCTGCAAAAAGTTTAACTTGGGGGGGTGGTTAGCGGAAAACCCCTTGATTTCCCTAAAAGTTAAAGTCTAAAGATCCAACCCAATAGCAGTCAATCTCAACAACAATTGCTGCTTCGAGAGGTGAGGGAGACAGCTGGAACAGTACCATCCCCATAAGAAACATGAAACATGAAGCAGACAAAGGGTGCATTTGATGCGAACATTGTCCAGAACAGAGGGCTCCCTCAAGGTCCATGCTTGTGGTTGGGACCGCTGCCTGCCAAGATTTAAAGGACTTCCTGAGCTGTCCGGCTCCGATTGAACCACTGCGCTCCTTTGTCTGGGCATCATCAGCAGCTTGTAGCTGGCGGCGATGCACAAAGAGCCCAAAGCGTATCCTGAGCGCAGATACGGCGCAGACCTTTTCTGCACAGAACGTGGGAAAATCGGGTGGGAACCCTATTGGGTGGGAATCCTGCATCAATTTGGAGCTGGGTTACTAACCCTGGTCGGTTGACGTGAGACTATTGGGTGGGAAAAGAAGGTTGAGATGTTCCTCCATGTCATCCGAAAACCAATAGTAGAGTACTAATACCAATGACGGTGTAGTCGATTTCTGCTTCAAACGCTTGAATAGACTCTGGAGTTGGAGAAGGTGTTGCATACGGACACCAAGGACAATATCAGACTTGCCCAGAAAGGCACGTCTTCCCTCGTTTCACTGAGTGTCACTGGATGGGCCCTTTCACCGAAGCCATGTTTGCAAGCATCCCAAGCCAGGGCCAATCACCTGTCATTGGGCGGACATGGTAGGTATTTATGAATTGTCTCGTCCTCGACCTTCATCTTGCCCACTTAGCAGGCAAGGCATGTCACCGCGGCGCCTTCCCGAATGCCGCTGATCAATGGTGCATTTGCCCAGGGCTCCACTAGCCAAAAACGACGATCAGCTAAGTGCACGTCCAGTGTTGTTGTGCCGTGTGTCTAAGTGAATGGATATAGCATTTGCGACCTTTTGAGCTAAGTGCTACGTAGCAATTGAGCGACTCTATAAACCTTCCATGAATACCTAGGTTACCTATGTCGTATCAAGTTGCTTACGCGCGAGCTTGCGCTACGCGATCCATCTTTTAGCTTACGCGGCAGTCAGTGAGCATGTTAAGCTTACGCATCGCTTACGCGTCGGCGTTTTGAGCGTTTCCCCTCAAGAATTGCTTACGCGGGCTCCTTGTCTCATGCAGCCGCCAGAACTGTTCAAGATGACGTGGACGACTCTGAGGAAGAAGATGACGGCGGCGGCATCCGTCGCGAGGGCTAGCGGGCAGCCGAGCTAGGCGAGCTTACGCAAACCTTACGCGCCCGCTTACGCGAGCTTACGCGCCCAAGCCCCTTTAGTTTCCTTAAATCAGTGGTTACAGAAGCCTGTTTGTTCCAGCAAAGGGTTGCAACAGCACCTAGCATGAGCCCCAAGAGCTCTCAACCAAAGCTCTGCTGTTGCTTTCTAACGGTGCGCACATGCGGTCTTAGACGTCTTCCTGCAGCCAAAGTCTCCGAGCAAGTTGCCAAGATCGGCTAGGTTGCAAAAGCACAAGCCACGAATAAACACATGGGCGAAACGTTAACTCTTCCGAGCATGCTTACAAAGCCTACCAAGCAATCACGAAGGAGAGCTTACGCAGGTGCTTACGCAGCATGTTTCCCCAAAAAATGCTTACGCCGGCTTACCCCGTGCAGGGTTTTGCTTACGCGGGGGCCTGTTATGACACAACTCTTGCTTGGGATGTAACGGGGGGTTGTTAGAGCTGCTCAATTGGCGGTCACTTGTAGGGCGCGGGTTGCCGGCCGTTGGGCAGCACACATAGTGACCAATCGCTCCAACCTCAGCACCCTTCTCTTGCAGGTAGTGCGAGTGGCCACTGTTTGGCAGAGTATGGAGATGCCTCTCACTCCAGCAAGACGAGAAGCACATGGCGTGGTGACGGTTCATTGGTGGTTGAGCTGAATAACATCCTGTTGGCAAAGAATCGCCTCTTTACGATTGACCTGCACCAGTACGCTTAAAGTTCATCCCTAACATGAGCAGTCTCTGCAGAATGAAGATTGCAACCCAATAGAGGACATGGTTGCAGCATTTTTGTGCGGGCAAGAGGACATCGCCAACTTCGCCCAGCACATTCAAGTTCTTGCCAAGTAGGTGCTTTCAAAACAAAAGAAACCCCCTGCAGGCTTTCCCAACAATGGGGAACCCCCTTTCGCTTGTTGAATTTCAATGGAACAAATTATCTAAATCCACCACAAGGGAACCCCCGTCTTGCCAAGTCACTGGCTAGCTTGCTGTCACCTTAGCTGCCCAAGCAACCGCCACACCTGATCACCAAGTCCGTTTCTAGACGGAAACAGTGACCTTCTGGTCATCGATTGGCTGCGCGTCAAAACTAGACTAATGCAACAAATCCCATTCTGCCGCTCGCGTGTTGGACACATTCCCAAGCCAGCGGCACCCCTGCCTTTTTGGCTCCATGCAAGTTGTTGCTTGAGGACACCCCTCCCCCCCGCCCCCCCCAGCAGCTCCATCTGTGTGCAGCGAGGCACCAAGCTCCAGCAGCTCCCAGGCTGCACCTATCCGGAGACGGAAAAATCAGAGGGCCGGCAGCCGCTCGCCCCCCGCAGAAAACAATCAGGAATGCGGAAATCATGGATTGATCGGCGGAAAATCCGCCAACCTTCGGGCCCAGAATGGCAATGGCCATGTATATCAATCCATATCTTGGTTATGCACATTGGAACATTGGGCCGATGCAAACGTTCCTTGCTAAGCCCTCAAATGTTGCTCGCTATTCAGGTGTGGGTCAAAAAAAGGTCCCCAAAATGGAAACCTGGTAAATGGAAAGGACCAAAACCTGCGGTCCATATCCTGGTGGGATTTCATTTTGGCCCATACCCAAACGAAGCACCGCACTTTCATTGAGCCCTGATTCCCGAGGCTCGACTCACAGGCCCGCGCCTCTCCAGGTTGCCTCAGATCGCGCTGTGCGGCATGGGATGTCCCTGATCCTTTACTAACCAACAGTGACCCATTTGGAAAATTGAAAGGGGTCTATCGAAAGTCAGCAAGTCTTGAACAAACACATCTTGATCATTCTTACGGCTGGTGGTTGTGTTCCTATGGATATAAGCCGATCACCATCAGGAAACTAACAGCTATGGTCACCAAGAGAAACCACCTGTTTGGAAACTAGAGGAAAAGCTCCAAGTTGCCTCAAGCGGAAACCGATCGAGGTGCTTCTTGTTTCAAGCTGGTCTATAGGGTTTTATCAGCCCTTTTTTAAAAGAGGGCGAATCAAATGCTTGTAATACAGGGATCTGATCTACCTGCAGAACTTCGGAACATCGAACCTTGGCTCCTGGGCTCCTGCGAGTATCCTTTGAATTGCATTGAACCGCACTCTTCACCCACTGCACGCGGCGGGGGTAGTGAAATTCAACACCAAAGCCGGAAGCTGTCTATGCCTGTTTGGCATCATCCCCCAGTATCTCAGACCCCAAACAAGCTTGGCACGTTGTTGTACCGCCAAGGTGCGTGTCTGTTTACCCCTTGGCATCGTTGGTAGTATCACATACACATCTCGGACCGATATCAAACATCCGACTGCAACGCATGGTTTTTTAGACATATTGGAATCCGTAAAACTGTTGTAGGTCAGCAGAACATTAGCCAGTTTGCTTGCAAGTTGTCGTGAGCAAACTGGCGATGCACGAATACAATTCGTCGTGTAGTCAAACCATTCGCCAACACATAGCCAGCCAAACATGCACCACTCCTGAAAATACCCCGAGAAGAAAAACAAACTGCGAGACACGCGGCAGGCCGAAACCGAGACTTGGCAGCGCTCGTTTTGTCTTTTGGTTTTGCAGAAGGATTCATAGCTTTCGAGTCACCGGTCCCCCACCGCTCATGGATGGATCCTTCCCTCGGCGACCAAAGCCGAGGCGCCTCCATGCCCACCCTTCGCCCGGTTCCGGCCGCGGCCGGCGGCGGAAAACGAAAGTGGCAACTGCGGTCCACGTGGGCATTCCTCATGCGGCTGGGGAAAGTGTCTCTCGCCTTCGTTTGCCGCGGTATTTTCGCTGATAGCAAGCTGTGGCTCTAGACATATTCCGAAAGAACCTGATGGAATTGAGGCATCTTGCTGCCCCCTACAAGCTTTTGAAATGGCCACAAGTTCGGGCCTAGCCCAGGCTTGGCGAAGCCTGTTGAGCCGAAAAGGCGCCACAGAAGGGAGTCAGAAAAAAGGGGGACCCTCGAAAAGAACAGACCCACATTTGAAGGGTACCCTTCTGTGTAAAGTTTGAAGGAGCAAAAGGAGCCCAGCCATTTCACGGGGTAGCCCATTTGGAGACCCCGTATCTGAAATGGCATCGCAAGGAACGCAGGAAGAGCGCGGTTTACTACCCATGGTCCACTGGAGGCTTTTGCATTTCGACCCCAAAGCATTGCAACCCCACACCGACACGCGTCACACCGACTCGATGGACGTCGTCGCAGGTCCTACGCTGAATGCCCGGGCCCCAAAAGCCCAGCGTGCCCTGAGAAAGTAAACCCAGGAAGAACCGCCCAAAGAGCATGCCAAGTCCTGCTGCCTCATTCGTAGTCTCAGCAAATCATGAGGGCCAAATTCTCCATTTGCCCACCAAGGAGACCACCTGTTACGCCAAAGGGCCCCACCCTCAATTGTGGACCGGCACCCGTTGCATTTGGTGGGGAGTTGTCACATGGCTCAAAAACCCTCTCTCCCACCACCATGGCAGCTGAGAGGGGTGCCATGTTAGTTTGTCAGTGGGAGGAAGGGTACATATCTTCTTAAAACATCACAAGGGCAACTCAGGTCCTGGGACCGCCCCCCGTTAGTAAACATAGTTCTTTGACAAAACATATTTATTGATAAGGTCCTAGCAAGCTCCAGCCGCACACTCGGGGGATCGCTCGCTTGGACCCCGGACTGCCAGGATGCCACCAGCAGCAGGATGAGGATGGCCGCAAAGCGGCACACCATGATGACGAACTGAGCAGCCGAAGCACAGGACCGGGTCTTCGGTGCGTGGCTTTTCCGGCTACAACTGTTCTAGGGTATCTGTACAAGGATAGATCAGCAGCACTCTTGCCTCACACCTTGGGTGTAACTTTGGCATAAGCAAACCAGAACCCTCCGCAAGGGCTCGGATCCAAGGGTTCTCATCGAAGCTTGGGGGGGAGATCCTTGGGCCGAACATGAACCTCTTCGCGAATTGGAACCCGGGACCTCACGAAGTAGGGGCGGAAGCCCTGGCATACCAGCCAAAGGAAATCATGATTCATTCGGAAGGGCCCAGAACCTTCTGACGCCTCACTTGCTGGCACAAGAACATGCCAGCCTCCTGAAAATATTCCTTGGTAAAAGTAAGATAGATAGTGCCTTCAAGGAATGCGAATGGTGTCTACATGCATGTGTGTACATTGTACGCGTATGTACACACACGGACAAATTATATATATATATATACATATATATGTATGTGTGTATGTGTGTATGTATGTATGTATGTACATACGTACGTACGTATGTATGTATGTATGTATGTACGTACGTACGTACGTACGTATGTATGTATGTATGTATGTTTGTGTGTATGTGTGTATGTGTGTATGTGTGTACGTACGTACGTATGTATGTATGTATGTAATGTATGTAATGTATGTATGTAATGTACTGTAATGTATGTAATGTATGTAATGTAATGTAATGTAATGTAATGTAATGTAATGTAATGTAATGTAATGTAATGTAATGTAATGTAATGTATGTATGTGTGTATGTATGTATGTATGTATGTATGTATGTATGTATGTATGTATGTATGTATGTATGTATGTATGTATGTATGTATGTATGTATGTATGTATGTATGTATGTATGTATGTATGTATGTATGTATGTATGTATGTATGTATGTATGTATGTAGGTACGTAGGTACGTAGGTACGTACGTACGTACGTACGTACATGCATGCATGCATGCATGCATGCATGCATGCATGCATGCATGCATGCATGCATGTATGTATGTATGTATGTATGTATGTATGTATGTATGTATGTATGTATGTATGTATGTATGTATGTATGAGTTTTTAATACTTATAACATATATATATATATATATACATATATATATAGGTATTATGTCTTTTCAATACTTATAATATATATATATATATACATAGAGAGAGAGAGAGAGAAAGGGAGAGTGAGCCACATATGTATCCAACGGTCAGTGATCTGCAGGCCTTGCGCCTTCCGAGATTGAGCAGCGCACAGCTCAATCTTGCCGGCTCTTCCGCCAAGCGTAGCAAGGTTCCTATTTGGACTCGGAGAGTTGCCTGAGATGCCCCGTGGCCATGGGAAAAAAGGGCACCCTTTTTTTGTTGGTTGAGTTCTAAGGGGGACCCTTCCTCCAAAAACGGAAAAAAGGGCACCACTGGGCCACAGAGTTGCACTGTACGTTTCAAGGACCCAGCATTGAGAAGTGATCCACGGACATACTTTTTCGCAGGCTCTTGGCCTGAAAAGCCTGCCCTTATCAACCTGTTGTTTCCGGTCCGTATCTTGAGCCCGCCAAACCTGGGGCTCGCCACCGTAAACTTCTTGGTCTTTTGCAGGTCGGCAAAGGACAAGGGCCTTGGGTTTTGGATGAGGACATTTTGTGACTGACCCAGTAGCGTCCCGGGTAAAGAAAGAAACACGTGGACCATTGTTGTGGGGAATCCTCCAAACAAAAAAGACAAAAAGGGTGTCTGAACAACTGTGGTGGGCCGAGCCGGCTACAATTAGAAATCGTGCGATCCCGAAACGCATTCAGCATTCAAACATACAGTCATAGTCTATCCAGACCAACATGGTCTGTCCAGACCAACATGGTCTGTCCAGCTGGAAGCATAGCATTGGCTTCTCGTTCAAAGCCAGACAGTATGGTACTTGTGCAAGGTGTTCAGCTGACATGGCTCACCTCTATTTGCTGAAGGTGCCACTAGAAGTAAGAGACATACCAAATATGTCATTCAGGAGACTTCGGCTGCAGTCTCTGACATGTATGAGCAAAATGTCTCAGAGCATGGTGGTTCCCTCAAAAGGAACCCTAAGGGTTGCCTAAATTCGCAGTCCAAGGGGTATGCCCAATTGGGTTGTCCTTCGGTCTTAAATGTATCCCAAGCTTCGCTGCTCTGAAATGGGCAAGTTCTCTTGGACTTCCATGGCTTGAAAGGGTACCCTACACTGGCAAGCATGACTGGCCCCGTTAGGATCCACAAGAATCCGAGCTGCACAGTGATCAGAAAGCTGATGATCACGCTGACGTTATAGGCAAGCATCCTCAGCCATGTGAGTGCGTGCGTTCACTTTACAGAAGGCGCTAAATGGAACCTGGACAGGGAAAACCAATTCTTGGCCCATCCAACCTTCAGGCACGCCAAGCACCCTTTCGACGATGTTCACAAGACACCCGCATAAATGCGGGTGTCTTGTGAATTTCTTGATGGACAATATTTAAGCATGCTATTCCGAACAAATCAACAGAACGTTCTTGATTCGCAATGGATCGGCTCGGCCCTGTTTTGAACAGTACTGGTCAAGAAGAGGGCCATCAACGAAACAAGAAGGACAAAGGGCAGACAGCAGTAAGGATGCATATTACATATTACACCATGTGCATGCATGACAACGCTGGCACTCCCAAGTACAAAGCTGTGTGGAGCTCATCTTAGAAGATTGTCCAACCTCATGCCCTAGATAATCTCGTAACTGACATAACTGTCCAACAATTGCTATCTTAATGTCTTCTGAAGATTTCCAGCATCCACGTTGCAGTGCCTCGCGTACCGGGACAGTTTGCATCGGGCTGTGCAAAATGAATTCTCCTGAAAACTGGCCTTCCACCGCCCTTCCACAAACCTTCGCGATTGCAAATCTGCACGCAGGTTATCACTGGTTTTCGGTCCCGCTGAAACCTGGAGCAAGGCAACGCCACGGACCTTTTTACAAGAAGTATCCTTCCGAGTCGCAGCCGCTTTGAGGACGACTACTGTAAGGAGGGCGAAGGGGGACGAGCTGCTTGGACAAACTCGCCTTCCGAGCCTCTTCCGCGAAACTTCCGCGCGACTTCCGTGATTGTTTTTGTTGTTTTTTTGTTGGGCCTTGCTTTCTAAGCAAGCAAAGGGAACAGTCCTTGCGTCTCCCGCTGCTTTGCCTTTGAAAACAGGTCCGCTGTTTCAAGACATACACTGTCTCTAGCCCTGTTCCGCATCTCTTCCGCCGCCCTTCCGCGTCTCTTCCGCGCACGCAGTGGGAAGCTCATGCCATGCAAGCCTGCAAATTCGGAATACTAAGCCGAATACATGGGTTTTAGCACGACGCACATGTGATAAACATGAGGCTTTCGTGCGATGTGAACGCTTTGCAATCACGTAATTAGTCCGAACAGCGGCCAGGTCAATGGAACTAATCCCAGCCCCAAGAGCCGATCTGATCCATAGAGTTCAGCAAGACGATTCAGACGCATACCTTGGCACCTTCCCAAAGCATTGAGCGCGCTTCACAGCTCAAAAGAAGAGCAAGCAAGGCTACCGCGTGCGTGTGCGCACACTGCACGCAACCAAACACATACACACACACACACAAACACACAGACACACAAACACACAGCCACCCACCCACCCACCCACCCACGCCCGCCCGCCCGCCCGCCCGCCCGCCCGCACGCCCGCACGCCCGCACGTACGCACGCACGCCGGCGAGCGCGCGCGCACGCGCACGCGAAAACGCACACGCGAAAACGCACACGCACACGCACACCCACACCCACCCACACACACACACACACACACACACCTCCGCGCGCACGCACGCACGCACGCACGCACGCACGGACGCACGGACGCACGCACCCACTCAAACACACACACACACACACACAGACACGCACTCAAAGGCCCAAATGAGCCACGCAGGCACACGCCTGCGGACCGGGGGGAAAAAGAGGTCAGCCACAAGTAAAACGGGCAGACGAAACTAGCTGCAGACCTCCGAGCACCAGGCTCGTCAAGCTCGAGGCCGCAGAGTGTCGCGATGTTCTGCATGGTGTGGCCCCAGGACCTTTGAAAGAGGACACTCTTTAAGCAAAGCTCTACAAAACTTAGAGCCGCAAGTTTCGGAGGCAAAATTCATTCGACACATTATGCGTTTTTGGAGACTCTGTCATATTTTCAGGGGATACCCTTCCGACATGGAAGGTTTGGCCGACCCTGGAGTGCCCTGCAGGTCCCCTTGGAAATCCATCAGCCTGAAGTACAGCTCCAAGAAAAGGCCTGCGGATTCCCATGTTCAACCAGATGAGATCGCCCAAAACATGTTGCAAACCAAGGTCTCGTCAAAAGGCCTCTTGGAACGACTCGGGTACTGCTTTGCATGGTTAGATGGTTAGATGCAGCCAGACGGAGTGTAAGGACATCGGGCAATGGACCACAAAGGTCAGACATGTGCATCTGGGAGACGAGTGTGGTGCATGGAATCTCGGAATCAAACATGTGCAAGGCCTGCCAAACTGAAGTGCCAAAGCACCCGTAGGAACACGCTTCAGGCCTGGCCAGAAAGCAAACCGAAAAAGCAGCCTGCAATCATTTGAGACAACATGGGCTGCTCGAAAAACAGTCCATGTAGCAATCAATTACATTTCAAAGCATTCCATATTGATCTTGGTACAGGTGCATCAGGGGCACAGCATTGAATCGCAGGAGCATGACGCCGACAAAATTGAACATTGGGCAACTGCACCAAGCCTCGACCTTCTCAAAACTTAGGGCTCCTCGGGGCTGTGTCACCGTCTGCAAACGGGTCAACCCATCAAATCCTGCTCAATACCGTTGAACACAGGGAATCGGATTGCTTCATCGGGCAAGGCCTTTATCCCTCACACAACTGAAAAACCGGATGAACATATATATATATATATGCATATGTATATCATGTATACTCTATGTATGTGTGTATATATATATATATATTCTATATGTATATATAGCCAGACAACAAGCTGAGCCCTCGTCATGGACATGTGAGCCTTCAATCCAACCCAGATCCCTCAAGCAAAAACCTGCGCTTGTAGAAGAGTGTCTTGCCTGGCGTGATATTGCAGGATGAATGCTGCCCAAATCATGGGACAGTCTGCAAAGGAAACTCTGATTCCTTCAGGGGGTGTGTCCCATCACAAACCTCTTTTTGCATGCCGATTCAAGAGTAACCCAAGAGGACCAGCCCATGTTTCGGTGCCGATCTAAGGCACCCATGTATTGTTGATCCTGCCCAATTCCTCGGAGGGTTGATGTTTTGGGAGGACATAAAGGGCTCGGTTTACCCCGACAAACTCCTCCGACCCCCCTATTCATATTGCTGCATCAAGGTTGACTCCTTTCTGTTCCACCAGCTGGGTTTGTGTGAAGGTTGGCTTCCAGGAAAAACCAAAAGGAAACCCACATGTTTTTTCGTGTTTCCCTATTTTGGCACATATCCAGCTGGGAAAAAGAGACAAGCCGCTTCTTTGCCCAAGTGGCGTCGCCACTGTGACCACCAGCGCGGAAGCCTGGCGTCATCGGGTGTGGTCCTGGTTCCATTGGTAGGGATCCTTGGTGTTTTGTGGGGGGCGCCTTAGCCTGGTCATGCTAGACTCATGGATTTCAGGGATCCTTTCATGGTTCTCTACATTCCCTACAAGGCCCATAATCCCTCAGGTGAATCTTACGGCAAAACATCCCGCCGTGCCGTAGGTGTAGCTCACAATCACCATGTAGATCAAGTTCGCCGCGGTGCCCGAAAACCTCAGCCAAGACTCACGTCCCAAGTGTTGGCCTGGCCAACTGACATGGGCTTGTCTCGATTTGGGGATCCCCAAAATGGCAAGGGTCTCTGTCTCCATTTTTGGTTTCCCGAACCAAGCCCCACTTTTAGATAGCTCCCCAAAACGCTGACTCGGATGATGATGACAGGTTTTCAGTCCACTGACTGGCGAGAGGGAAACTCCATGGCCCCAAGCGGACTTCCAATCATGGAAGCCGCCCGAAAAACTCTGCGCAAGGTCTGTTACTAGGCTCTTCATATTCGACCCTTCGGACGGGGGTGGGGGTGGGGGTGGGGGTCGGGGTGGGGGTGGGGCCAGATCTCTTGAGGACATTTCCAGAAGGTCCAAGATCTGCTCAGGGATCTTTGTAGGAACTCCCTTTGCAGAATCTTGACAGGATCTCTGTGCAAGATATCTTCGCAAGATCTGAACAAGATGTTCACGCAATACCATTCTTTCAGGAAGAAGTTGTATAGAAAGTCCTGTGGAGACGATGTACAATATATCTTCAATGGATTTCTGTAGGAGATCCCGTCGCTGTGCGAAGCCGCGATCTTTGAACATGGCAAGCGAACCCTTGGCGGACTTCCGCTGTCTTCGGCCACTCTCGCATACTCTCGCAGAAGTGCGGTGCTCATTGTGAATCCGCTCGCAGCAGACATATACACACTTCGCGCAAGCAAGTTCAGAAACAACGGAACAATAATAAGCCAAAACTCGGCTTCCCATGGATTTATATCCAAACAACACCTGGGATCCTAGATATGTTTATTACTTTTGGGGGGGGGATTTTCAGAAACGACAGCCGAAGTACGCGAGAGTGGCCTAAGACAGCCGAAGTCCGCCAAGGGTCCGCTTGCCATGTTCAAAGCTCGCGCCGTCGCACTCGTCCCAAAAAGAGCAACTTCAGAAAGAAAAAAAGGAATAAGCCAAGCAACTCGGCTCCCCATGGAATTGTTTTATCCAAAAACCACCTCGGATCCTGGAAAAGGGCTTTTCAGACAATCCTTGGAGGGGGGAGGTGTGCGATCCTGGGGGGAGAAATTTTCAGAACCGACCCCAAGCGACTCCCCCCTCGAATCCTTGGGGCGGGGGGGTTCAGAAAACCGATCCCTGGGGGGGGGGGGGGGAGAAATTTGCTAGAAAAACGTCCCCAACGCGACCCCCGCCACCGGCGTCTCGTTCGCTCCGCTTCCGAGCGGCTCGGAGGTGAGCACCAGCTGGCCCATGGCGCCCAGCTCCACGCGCTGAGCGGCGGATGGACCGGAGGCGGTGCCGTTTTCCGGTGGGTTTCCCTTTAAAACCCCAACCCAAAAAGGGAGCTTTTAATTTTGATGGGAAAATTAAAAACACAAACACCCAACCAAAAAGGAAGGTTTTCCCATGAAAAAACAAATCAGACATGGGTGTCTTTGGTTGAGGGTATCCTTCTTGTTGGTGGCGTTTAAGGGAAACGACAAGGACAACAACCATTTTGAGAGGGGGCCTGCAAAAAACAAGCTTTTTTTCGTGGTGTGTCTTTGACTGATAAGAATGGTCATACGGGTTTTACGCTTTTGTTTCAACAACATGACCGAAACAAATGGGGTGAGCTCGCCAACAACCTGGGATGAATCGAAGCTCCCAATCAATCCATCCATTTCAAGGGAGCCCAGCCTCCCTGATCTTGAACTCTCTGCATGCGTTCTTCTTCCGCATCTCTTCCTTGAAATATTCCTCAGCGGAAATCACACATGCGGCACATGCTGCAGCACACCCACTCCGACCATGGGTTCGCCCAGTAGTCCCAGTTGTCAAAGAAACCGAGGCGTCGCAGCATGTAGGCTCAGCACGTAGTTCATTGAAAAACCCAACCTGCGCATCATGCCTGGTGCAAAAGGGTGGAATTGTTCTCAGAGAACAAAGGGGACACGTCAAGACTCCCTTTTCTTTGGGTTTCACTGTGCATTCTGTAGTTCAGCCAGTCGACTCCGCAGGGAACACAAACAGCTGGGCTAGTGTCGACTACCAACATTAACCGATTCATCTTTTGCGCGCGTGCTCCAAAGCTTCGGCACATCAGGCTATCACCAAATTGCGTCAAAGGGGAATCATGTTTGTAGAGGTAGAACATGATTAGTGAACCCCCTCTGATTTAAGACGCCCGGTTGTCCCAGCCGACTGCCAATAATAAAGTTCCCCATCAATGATTTCGCTTCTCATATTGCACGAGTCCATGACTCAGTTGTTCAGTGACCCTGGAAAAACAAGGGAACCCTTTTGGGGGAAGACCATTTTTGGTGGGGCAGCCACCAAAAAGAAAATAATTGGTGCCACTGAACAACTGAGATGAGTCAGCCCCAAGGCAGCCTCCCAAGGCCCAGCACCTGGCGATGGCAACCAACCGCAGTTGAGCAGCCAGCGTGCCCTTTCGGAACGGGGGCGAGTCGCTGATGCCTGGCGATGGGACGTGGGACGTTGCCCACCCCCTTGCAAAGGAAGATTAAGACAGCCACGGAAAACTGGCTAAGTAATTACCTGGACTACTCAAAAATAGCTCTCCCCCAAGTTTTGGTTAAGCAGCAAGCAGTGAGTACATGTCCTGAGTTGAGAATGACGCGCCAACATGGCGAGAGCTGCTCTGTCGTTCGACGCTGCGACCGCCATATTCCTCTGAGGTGTCACTTTGAGGGCATCAAGCTGGATGGACGCGATTTCAGGAAGTCGATCTAAGCCATGCCACAACCATTGTGGTTCGCATCGCTGCACTCCTCCCAGTAGCTATCCAATTTGCACGAGCAGAAACGAAGAGTTTACATGAGAAACATTCTATGGGTGCCGCCCACACGGCAATAAACACGGTGAATTCTGCTTGGCTTAGATGTGGTAGCCGTTTCTCAGGCTCCATCTCAGGAATCAAACCCTAATTCGCCGTTACCCGTCATTGCCACGGTAGGCCAATACCCTACCGTCGGAAGCTGATAGGTCAGAAACTTGAATGATGCATCGTCGGCAGAGCCACACGATTCATCAAGTTATCATGAATCACCACATGTCCAGGCAGAGCCTGGGTTGGTTCTGTATCTAATAAACACAACTCTTCTGCGAAGTCGGGCTTTTGCTCATGTATTAGCTCTCGAAACACAGTTATCCATGTAGCAGTGAACATCAAATGAACTAACTATAACTGCTTTAATGAGCCATTCGCAGTTTCGTCGTATAAACACTTACATGGCTTCGTCTTTGAGACAAGCATATAACTACTGGCAGGATCACACCTACAAAAGGATCCCCAACAACAGAGCACCTTCAAATTCTCATGAGCCTGGAGCCCATCTGCGCCCAGTCGGTCGGGCCTTTCTCAACTTTCTCCTCGATATTCTTCCGCTCGTCCCTCAGACCTGACATAGGCAACCGGGCCAAGTCGGTTCACTTCACCAACCCTACGTGGCACGGTGCAGCTTGGACCCGGTAGCTGCTGATGGCTTTATGTAGTGAATGCAGGGTGTATCATAGGATTCACTCAAACTCTCCTTTGGAAGCTTGTACCCTCCACATTGAACCCACCAAAAAAGTCCTTTTCAAAGGAAAAGTCGGATGGGAGGGTATCCAATACAACTTGCCAGCTCCCCCCAAATCGGCGATTTGGATTGGTTAGGGGGTGGTTTCCCATTTGCCCTCTACGAGAACCAAGGATGAAAAATCCCCAAGCCACCATTCCAAACCATCAGTTGAGGGTTGCAGGAACTTGCCCTTCCTCCCGCTCCCAACAGCGATCGTCCGGGGCATCCCACGCTCGCGGCGCTCCGGCTCATTCTCCAGGGCATTCTCCTCGTGGCCCGTGGATACGATAGCAACTCAAACGGTTGTGCCTCAGATATACGGTACCCTCCAACCCCCAGATTTACTGCAGAAAGGATTCCAAGGTGATACCAAAATTAATTGTTGAGTGTGTCCCTCCAACCATTTGGCTGGTGTCAAAGGAAACCAGAAGGAAAACACCCCTCCGAATTTCGAGACAAACCCAATTGATGAAAAACACGATGTTTCCAAACCACACGAGCAAAGAGGGCTGGGGCCAGGCCTTTTGAGAAACCGGCCAACTCAGTACCCAGTTCCAAATTCGCTCAAGCACGGGTTCGACATTTCCAAACTTAGAGTTCCTTAGGCGCCATTCGGGGTTCCTCAGAGAGCCTCGCTGCTACTCATTCCCATCCTTTTGCATGGATCCCTCAGATCGAAGGACTGGCCTCGGCCTTCTCATAATTCAAGGCGTTGGCGATGGTCAGGGCCTGGCACGATGGGTGTCCCAGGCCAACTCGGGGAGCCCGGGTTCCTAGTTGCTGGTTGGGTGGTGGTAGAAGGAAAAGCCGGGCAACCAAAGAACAAGCCAAAGGAAGACCAAAGGAAAACCAACAAACCAACGAAGCTGCAAGGAGACTAACGGGGAGCCGCAGTTGGGTGGTGGTTGAAGGGAAAGCGACGGGCAACCACATGACAAGCCAAAGGAAGACCAAAGGAAACGCAGTGGGAAACCCAAACGAAGCAAAAAGGAAACTAACCGGGGGACACCAAAAGCAAACCAAACATCTTGAGGAGTTCCATCTGACACATTCCCGTCTCAGGTCCTAGCTGAAACATAGGCCATGAGTCAGCCTACAAGCTTTCGAAATGTGCCTGGGCAGGGGTCACTGGATTTCCCGCTCAAAGGTTGTGATTTATTGGTGGTTCATGCTGTCTCCATCAAAACTGCCACTGTTGGCGGAGGAAACCCTGCCCAGATCCCAGAAGAGCAGCCCCACGCAATCGCAGCAACTCATTTCCCGCCCGTTTTCCAGCATAAAGACACACATGCAACATGGCAGAGGCCATCTACTATATCCATCCAGACATGCAACATGGCAAGTCATATGGCACCTGGAAGTCACCAACTTGGGGGGTTTCCCTATTCTGAGACAAACCAACATGGTTGTTCCTGGATGTATCCTGAGCCTGCGTACACTGTTTCCCCTGGTTGCGACGTCCACCATGTCCAGGCTTGCACAACTGCAGTCTTTGTTGGGCACCTTCGTCTCGCAGACAATCGTGAATCACAAACAATTCCGAGCCATGGTGAAAAAATATTGTAATTCGGGGTCCCCTTTCTTGTAATATCACACAATTCTAAGCCTTAGGCAGAATTTCTTGTAATTAGGGTCCCCCTAGTGTGTGCAAACCTCCCATGTCCCCCGTTCGACGCCATCTGTTCGCCCCGAAAGTCGTCGGAACGAGGCCTCCAGCATGAAGGTTGCTGTGATGTAGGACCTAGCGACGCATGGCAGCCATGCGTCACCCCCACAAAGTGAGAGTTGCTGTGCCATGATACATCTGGGTGAATTATAATATTTCACCAGCCTGAAATAAGGTGGTTTGGGGGCTATTCCCCACATAAACCACCATTTGGGGTGAATTCGGTCGTGTGAGGTCGTTATAATTCGCCCAGAATGGAGAACACCCATGAGGGAAACCACTCATTGCGAGGTTTCGAATCAGTGCCTCTCTGTCAAAAACCCTTCCACATGGCCACAAGTTGCCAGCGCAAAACCTCGCAAAACCTCGCAAAACCTCGCCCACCTAAAGAGCCTAGAAGACTTTGGCCATTGAGCGCATTGAGAAGGGGATCGGCTGGTTGCAATCAGCTCCTGGCCCCCGGGTTTGACACAAGCCGCGATTCTCCATCGGAAAATGATAGTCACGTGTGCTCACTGTCAAAAGTGTTTCTGGGGATGCAGTCTTGGTTCCCCATTTTGGCCCTAAATTGGGATGCTAATGGTCACCCTTACACCTGCAAGGAATCAATCACAATCCCTAGCCAGCTGCTTCCTGCAGCCGCTTTTCAAGAGTTGATCACCTGCCAAAACCGCTCCCCCGTGCAACAACCTGCAAATGAGCCCCACATCCTGGTGAGCTCGCTTTACCCCCCCCAAAAGAATGTAGAACATTCGCCCTCCCCATGTGACGTTGTCACCTACCACTCCAGGGGCACGACACAGCCATGGAGGCGAAGACGGTCAGAGAGCCCAGGATGACTCCGCTCTGGCAGGCGACAAGGACGGCAGTGGCACCAGAGGGAGGATTTCTTTTTGAGGGTACCCTCCCACAGACAAACGTGGAAGTGCACACTGTAGAAAGACTACTTTCCTCTTGGAAAAGGAGTTTGTGCACTTACTTCCATGTTAGTTGGTGGGAGGTGGTTTTGAAGGAAACCAAAAGGAGCGCCATTCTTGGGGCTCCCCAATTTTGACACATACCTGTGAGGAAGCTTGCTTTTGGCCCAAAGGAAGTTGGCTGTTGTCTTGCCCATTCTTTGTGTTTGTTCGTTGGCAGAGAGATGTTGATATTCAACTCCAAATGGAAAGAAGTTGAGGGACAATGACTCACAAGATTCAACGAAAAGGATTTCTACAACAGGATCCCGAAAGCATGGGAGTCTGTTTTTACCAATGAGGTTGCCAAGATTGCCCACATGCGCGTCGCCCACAACCACAACATTCTTCACTGCTTGTTTTCGGCTTTGGTTAAGGGTCTGCGTTCAGGTTGTTGTTCAGTCGTGTTTCAGGATGTTAGATGTTTGATTCGGGTCTAGGTGTAGGAAATTCATGGTGTTTTGGGACCTCGGTTTTGGGTCTTTGGCTCTATGGAAGGGTTCAGGTTCACGGTTTTGGGGTTTAAGCGGTTCGCAACCTGTCTTGATCATAAGAATCTCTTTGTGTCCGGTCACATTTCTGGCCAACGCCGAAGGTGCAGCAGCGGAGTTCTGAAGCTCCGAGACCCGAAAGGCCAGAAAACTCGCAAGCAACAGGTGGAACTGGACCGAGGGTCGCATCCCTTGAAGCCTACAATTCTCATGGCGCCAAGCATATGTGACTCAAGGTGCCGGCTGGTTCCACCTACGCCCCACATGGCGCGCCAACAAAAGCCATCAAAACCAGGCCGGAGATCAGGCATCTCCAGGAGACAAAACCCCTTGGCACCAGCTCGGTGCAGTCAGAAGGTACCCTTGGCATCAGGGAGCCCAATGGAGTCGAATCCTGTTTTGGGCGGGGGAACTTCCTGTACCCCTCGTGTGCCCCTGGGAACGACCCCCCAAACCCATTGCAGCCACCGTAGTCTAAACGGGTTCCCCTTTGCTCAGTGAAAGTGGCAACCAAACATATATATATATATATGTATGTGTATGTATATATATATATATGAATATATGTATATGAATATATATATATAGTATATTTATATATACCACCATGAGAGGCCTTGATGTTGACCCTACAATTCACCGGGGTGCCCCCTCTATTTAAAGGGGATTTTGATTCCCTATTCATCCACTACTTGGTTGACGTTGGAAGGGGAGCAAAAAAACACAAATTTTAGCAGTTCAGTGGTTGGATTTCAACCACTAAACCACAAAACGCGAAAAAATGTAAAATGTTGCCCAAAAACCATGACTAGGTTGATCAACAGGCCAAAGAGCCCTCGGCCATCGGCCGGACCTGTTGGAAGCCAAAGGGCATCGTCAGAAGCGACAACCTGGCCAAAACGGCTCCAGCAAAAACCGCGCGGCCCACTGAACTTGACAAGGCCCAAAGCCGAGCAACTGGGCCGTCTTTTTGTTGAGGGTATCCTTTTTTTTGGTGGTTTTAAAGGGAAACCAAAAGAAAGCCAACCATTAGGCACCGAATTTTGAGACGAACCCTTTTTGATTCGTGGGTCAGCTTGGTAGACGACATTTACCTGGTGGTTGTGTGCCAACCATTTGAGTGTGTCCCCGCTGAACTTCATGGCCATAGATATGCACCCCCACCCCCGCAAGCAAAAAAAGGCTTTATTGGCAGAGTCCCCTTCCACGCAAGCAAATGTAAAATGATGACTTTGAGAGGGTTCAGTGAGGGATCCAGAGATCCCCAGCCTTGCTTTTGAAGGACCTGACACGCTGGTTCTTAGGGGGAACGAATCCAACCGATGGACATCCAAAGAACCTGGTCGGTAGAGTTATTACCATGTTCCCTACAAAGTGGCAACTTGAAACATCCTGAAACTCGCGACGCATTCTGGCATCGCATCTCCCAGGCGCGGCAAAAATCACGAAGTAGCGTGGGCAACTGGAAGGACCAGACGCAAACAGCAGCAGACAGGAGATGTGTTCACGCCAACCAATGGGTCCATTCGCCCATGCATCCATTCACAAAAGCCCGGGCCATCGTAGCAAGACTCCCAAGGAGTTAACAAGCCTTTGGGGGAATATGGCAAACAGGTGAAATAAAGCCCTTAAACCCCACCCCCAGAGCCCCCATTTAGACGGTATTTCAACTGAAACAGGAGTTGAAGCAAAAGGAAACCCCCTGATTAAAACGGGGAAACACACATGCATGATTCCGCCTGGGTTTTCCAAGTCAAGGAACTTGGTCCAAAGCTTTGCCAGATTTGCCCGGTCAAGGAGTTGAGCAGGAAGACCACTGCCGCCGATGGCCTACAAGTCGAGAGAGCCCGAAGGGTAAGGGGTTGACCCCGGCTAAACACCCCTGTTTATTAACTGAGGGTGTTCCCCTCCAAAAGTGGTACGACTCCCCGCTAAAACCAGGGGCAGGACATTGTTAATAAACAGGGGTTTATTAATGCTGGGTCAACATTATGGGAAATCAAGGCTTCAGCAAGGCGAAGCAGTCAATTCTCCCACGTGTTTTCCTCAATTCCAAGCACACTCTGCTCACTCGATTCTCACAAGTCAAATATGCGGATATTTGCACGTTTTTTGAACATTGCCAAAGAACGCTGGGCAAAACCCAGGTTGGACTAGTGATTCAGGGCTTTTAGGGTTCATAGTTTTGAGGGTTTACGGTCTTTTGAGGGTTTTTACGGCCTTGGGGTTTCAAGGTTGTTATGTGTCGGGTTTTTTGGGCTTTGGTGTAGGGTTTTAGGTTTTAGGTTTTAGGGTTTTTAGAGCTTAGGTTTCAGGCTTTCAGGGTTTACGTTCAGGGCCGAGGTTTCGGGCTGAGGGTTGAGGGAAAAGGGTTTATGGTCTAGGGTCTAGGGTTTTTAGGGTTTGGGTTTTTCAGGATTTGGGGTTTAGGGTTCTAGGTGTCGGGGTTTTAGGGCTTAGGTTCAGGGTTTGTAGCGTTTAGGGTTCAAGGTTTAGGGTTTAGGTTTAGGGCCGAGGGTGTGGCCAATGAGGGCGCTCGCTCGGGGATAAATTCCCCCAAGCCGCTCGCTTCGCGCCGCTATGTAGTTCCCGCCCTTGACCCACCCAGTCTCAGACTCTTTTAGGGTTTAGGGTTTGACAAGCAAACCCTCGGGTCTACATCTTCCCTCGCGCGCAGCGCCAAGAGGACACAGAACGGCGAGGGGCGGGGGCAAGGCCGGGGCAGCGCGAGGCGAGCGAAGCGCAGGCCACGGCGCGCCCGCCCGAGCCGCGGGGGCAAGAGAGCGTCGAGCGGCAACGCAAAAAAAAATTGGGCTTCGAGGCGAACACGTGTTCTCATTTTTTCCAGCTCAGCTGGCCAGACGGGCAAGGGCGAGGCCGGGCAGAGCAAGGCGAGCGAAGCGCAGGCAAGCGCGGCCCCGGCGCGCCCGCCCGAGCCGCGGGCGCGAGAGACCGGCGAGCAACAAGTCGAAACACTTTTTTTCATTCTTGAAGCGAAAACTTTTTTTCGCTGGCCAGATGCGAAGTCACAAAAGACGCTTTACAGGGGGAAAAACTTTTTTCCCGTCCGCGAATTCCTTCAGTCCTCTGCGGCGGGGCTCGCCCACAGCGAGACATGGAAGCCGCGGGCGTCCGGCTCCAGCGGCACGGCCTCCGCAGCGCGCTAGTCTGCCAACATATCTTGCAAGGCCGCGAGCGATCCAGGAGCTCCGTCCTCCAGCGCCCTTGCCGTCTGACAGAGGGCGGGCTCTTTGGCCAGCGCGCGGCGAGCTCGAAGTAGGTAGCCCCGCCTTCAGGGAAAAGAAACTTTCCCAAGCGCGCTGCCAGGGCGGCTGCCGCGGCTTCGTCCGCCGCCCGCGTGACGGTTACATGATGCTCGGGCCAAGCGTTAAGCGAGGGCAGCCTGACGCCGCCCAGGCTCACCGCCGCCCGCAGCAACATGAGTCTGCCACGCGCGCGCACCGTGCAGGTGGACGCGGAGGGGAATCTCCGCCTCGGCCATGCGCCGCAGGAGCCACCCAAACAGCAGGCGCGCAAAGAGCATCGCCACGGGCTCTCCTGCGGAGCGGGGGGATGGGGGCCAAAAAAACAACCGCGAAGGCAAAGCAAAACATAAACGTTCGAAAACATCGCGACAGCAAAAACAAAACGTCAAACGAAGCCCTCCCCGCCTTCGACCAACTCTGTATCGCCTAGGGGCTCCTTGGATCCAGGAGGAGCGACATGCAAACTGCCGTTAGGGCCTTAACAAAGAACACGCAAAGACTTTTCCGCCGCAACGTTTGAGGACGCACCAGCAATGCAAGCGCCGCACAAGGCACATTCCCACGCACGATTGTTTTGCAGTTCACTATGTCCGGGGCTTGTCATGTCAGATGTGGCCGCAGCCCACTTTGCTTGGCTTTCGAGAAGATTTATAAAGCTCCGGCCCTTCTCAGACGCAAACCCAAGCTAAACCTTCAAACAGTATGAGTATTGGGAGAAAGGGCGGCTCACAGAAGTTTAGAACGGCGGCATGTGACCCGCTTTTGGCCTCAACTTTCAAAATAATATTGCAAGGCCTTAGCTTTTAAATTAATATTAAAATAATTATTATTTAGGTTCAGGGTTGGGGTCTAGGGTCTTTAGGGTTTAGGGTTTGCGGTTTAGGGTTTCAGGTAGGGTCTAGGTGTTAGGTGTCGGGTTTTTGGGTTTTAGGGTTTAGCATCTATGAATCTGTGAACAGACCTGCGCGTGCTGAAATATAGACGGATGAGTAGATGATAATGGGACAGATGGGCGGCTCAAACTACCGCAGAAACCACGAAAAACGAATCGTGAGATTTGAGGAGATTGGACTCGTGAGAATTGAGGCAATTCGACGTGAGATTTATGTGCGCCTTAATTCAACAGGGCTTTCAAAACATCTTCAATGTTCAGTAGATGCTTTCAACGAGAAGCCTTGGCCAAACTACATTTGAGCCTGCAAAAGCCTACACATCCTCATGACGCATCTTCGCCCTTTGCCGGCGGAAGCGACAGCTCAACCGCTTCTATCTGTCCTCGTAATTCTACTACGCTTGTCAACGACATCCCCCAAGCGGTAGATGCGAACACGATGTCATTCTCGCTTTTGATGACTTCTGGGCCAACATGATAGCCTAACTATCCTACTCTCGCATCCGAGCATAGAACCTGACTGCAAGCCCCTGGAAGGACAAAGAGGGCAAAGAGGAAGGCCACCTTGCGTGCCATATTATAAGTGGGAGGGTGCCAGGCCTGCTGGAGGGTGCTTCATAGACATTGTGGAGTGGGCTTCTGTTAGGTGCAAGGGAGGCCATTAAGCCTTCAGGGTGTTCTGACCATGAGGACCATACTCCGAGGAATCCCCCTAAAAAAGACTTGATTCTCCCCCAGGCGGAACCACGTACGGCCCCCAGTATGGCCCTCCACGTTGATCTAAATTACCCTCCACGTTGATCCAAATTAACATCACAAATCTGGGTGTGTCTTCTTTTTGGTGGACAACTCAAGAAAGTGTTGTTCCTCTGGTTTCCCTGTTAAAAAAAAGAGCACCCTCAAAAATCCGCAGGCCCATACACAAAGCGACCTTCCGGCAGGGCTTCGCGACTCGCGATGTCCGGCGGCGTCTCCAAGTCTCCGAGTCTCGAGCTCCATCTTCACGCCGATCTTGTTCACTGCCTGCTGCTCCTCAAGACGCGCGGCGGGCAACGCGCGACGCGAGAGAGTCTGTGGCAACGGCTTCCTCGAAACACAACACGACGCTCCTTTTTCAAGGGCGGGGGGGGGGGGGGAGGCATGATGGGGATGGAATTTACGAGGGATTCAACTCCAACCAAGGCGAAAAGGATGGAAACGCAGCAACAGGACACTTGCTTGCTGCTTGCTTCCTCGCTTTCAACGGGATTTTCTCCGATGGAAAAAAACAACAAAAACAGGGTGCCAGCGGACTGCACAAACTCAGCTGTAAAGATTGAATCGACCTGACGAATCAGCTCCATGTGAAGGGATGAACCGAAGATGGGAAGCATGGAATCCGTGTGTCAGCATGCTCGAAACTTTTTAGAGCGTGCAACATGAGAGGTGTCAGTTTTGGCACAGTCTTCACCTCTGTGCAATTCAGAAGCCAAGATGAAAGGACGAAACGAGTCGGCCAACCCCATGCCATGAATTCAGTCACTTTGAGCGTCTGAGCTGTCCAAATGGGAACCTCCAAACCAAGTTCCGGAAGGAGAGATGGACACGGCGTCCAGCTTGACGTATGACCGTTTTGTTGCTTGAATCGCAGCTTCCAACAAGGGTCACGGAACCAAAATCCTTGGAACACCATTTGCAGGTGGGTAGTGGGTGTCACTACCGCAACTTATTGAAGTAACAAGTGGCCGAAGCGAACTCTTGGAGCCCGGACTGCGATCCAGGAGAGCTGCCGCAGGAACTTCACGCTCGCAGTGGATCTGGACGCTGTTCAAAAGCAAGAATGTGGAAATCAACCCAGAGGACCCCTGAAAGGAAACCAGGGATGGTTTATAAGGGTCGTTCCAATTCGCATTCCCTGCTGAGCCCCAGCAAGTTGAGGTTTGCTCATTTCTGTCAGAGAATCTCAGTGACACAGTCAGAAGGGTAACCCACTTTGGTATCACAGAAAGGGGCAATGGCACCCATTGTTCAGCACGTCCCGAAAAGCGGAATTCGTATTTTTGTATGCTGTTCCCTTACCCTGAACTACCATCCCCAAGGCAAATCAACTTCCCCACGAGCATGAAGGCAAGCTATCGACCAAGGCTCGACAAGAGTGCCTCCTTTTTGCTCATTTGACTCTGCCCCGACACATCAGCGAGAAGCCAATCATTTGGCCGCAGGAACCCCAGAAAGATTTGATCAACATGGATGACCCGGCTGCCCTGTGACCCTAGTGACCCAGGTGGAAAAAAAGGCAATCCTTTTTGAGGCCAGGGGCGTGTGTAGTGGGGGATCCATAAAGGTGAAGAGGGTGCCATTGAACAGCTGAGATGAGGTCTGCCTTTAGGTAAGGTCTCCATGGGTTTTACAGAGGCCGCGATTATTTCTCCAAAAATACTTCATTCCAAATGGGTATGGCTCAAAATGAAAGAGCTTGGGCTACGCAGGTGTTAGTCCTTGTTTGCTCTACACTTCCGCTAGCAGGGCTGGGCTTTTCACTTCTTACACTGCGCTGTAGCAAAAAAAACTCCTGCTGAAATCCCGTCCACCTAACATGTCCATGTTGCGAATGGCAGAAGTCCATGGTCTGGCTCAAACCCCCTGCCCTGTCTCATGGACAACTGCAGCCTGAAGATGCGGCTGACGGGTGCCGCAGGCAGCCTGAGACCAACTCGGCTCCGCGAAGTCCAAACCCAAAAAGGATGGCCTAAAAAAAATAAACCAAACACGGCACCCACAAAAAAAACTGACACACGCATGTGCCCATACGTCAATCGCAGTTGCGCAGGAAAATGAGCACACCCAAACAGCCAAGCGGTTGGTGGCACAACGGGGTTCAAGCTATCTCCACCTAGCTCATTCCCGCTTCCTCTATGGTCAGTTCCCGGCTCAGGGCACTGGAGTTTGGCCCAATATGTTCTCGCGGTTGCAGTCAGGCGAGTTCATGGACTCAGTTGTTCAGTGACCCTGAAAAAGAAGGGAACGCTTTTTTGGGAAGACCATTTTTAGTGGGGCAGCCACCAAAAAAAAGAGAAAAAAGGGTGCCACTGAACAACTGAGTGGAAGCTCCCAGGACCCTTAAGACTTTCCTTACCGGACCCTGATGGCTTCCATATTAGCCTAAGACCCCAAAACATGTTAGGACTGTCAGCCTGCAGCCACGAGTCACAACTCAAGAGCACTTCATGAAAAAAACGAAAAGGTTCCAAGTGCCAGTTGATTCATTGGGTTACCCCCCCCCCCCCCGCTTTTTACAGGAGAAAAAACTGCCCGGGCCCTTTTGCTAACATCAGGCTCGAGCCAAAGCGGAGGGCCTCCAAATGGCTTCCGCACATTTCAAAATCCACGCCCGGATGGAGGGGGCAAGAAGGAACATGCTTCACTCTGCTCGCTCACGCCTGTGAACTTGTTCCAAAGCCACCTGAAAGAAGTTTGATCCAGCGCCTGCAGGACAAAATTGGCTTCACCCACTCACCCCCAAAAAGGCAGGACGAACCAGGAAGATCTTCGCACGGTCGGGGATGGCGCAACCCCAAGCTTCCTGCATGGCGTTCGATCAAGTTCCCGGCTCCACATAGTCGCTATCCTCCACCACAGTCTCCTTCCTGAGATCAGGAGCTCAAGCAGAAGCCGTGTCCAGGTCCATTTGGGTATGTGTGCTTTTGAGTGGACCCCCCAAACTGGCGGTTGTGTTCCTCTTGGTTGCTCTTCCAAGCCAGAAAGCGGCTAACCAACGCCTTTAGGGCGATCCACTTAACCTAAAGGAGTCCCAAGAAATGGAGCCGACAGGTTGATGCCGGGGGCTCGAACCAATGGGTGTCAACCAATGGTTCTAACCGCAGAGCGTGCAGAATAAGTCCCAAAATCAAGCCCTTGTGGCACCACAATGGAGTTCACGTCACCGGGTGGACCATGGAGCCTAAATCTGTCAGGTTCCATATGGGGGTGGCTCCAAATTACAGAGCTACGGGTGGTAGTCGATTCCATTCTTACAAGGTGCCATTTTGGTACATTTGTTTGAGCCACGGCCATATCGTTTTGTGTTTTCCCTTTCTTGGCTTCCACATCTCCCAACTGGTGCGAGCCTGTCAGCAAGTGGCCAAGATTGGAGTGGGTGTTAATTTCCCTTGTGGGGTCTTTTCTCACTTGAGTGCATTGGCCAACAAGGTCCAAACTGTGTATTTACCACTAAAATTGTTGAAAAAACAAAACAAAAAATCAAGCCCATGGAAGTCCGAGACGGAGTTTTGTCTTGGCGCGTCCAACTTTGGCAAAAGAGACCCACGTGGGGCGTCTTAACCCAACTAGCCAATGTCCCTGCGCTTTTGCTTGATGCCTGCAGAAAATCTGACTCTGGAATCACTCCCACGCGACCCTACCATAGCCGCCAGCCGGGCGTCTCAGTCATCAGTTTGGAAAAAGGATGCGCCTCGCCGATGCGACTAGGGATTCAGCTTGGAGTATGGTGCCCCGGATTCATCCAATGCATGTTCTTTGGCTGAATGATTACGTTTCATAGGTAAACCCCTACAATGGTATGAATTCCCTGATAGATAGGTGAATCCACGGTTCATGGTTTCTCAGTGATTCGAAACCAGCCTCTTTCGGGCCCCTTCTGGCCGTGCGTTGAAAGCTCAAGGGTTCCCCCCTGTAGAGACTAACCTGGAAATGCAATTGCCCCTCATCCCCACATCTACAGGTCCCGCTCGGTATTTTTGTACTGAGCTCCATCTCCTCGACACCATTTCACTCACCACTCAGCCTTGGACACCAGGGCTGGTGTCAGAGATTACCCCTCTTTGATTTGACCCAGGAATAATCAATTGGTTGACTTTGATTGGGGGGTGTGGCCAGAAGGAATCCTGAAAATTGTTGGGGAGGGAGAATTTTCTCTGGCATCAACGGTGTTCTTGGTCTAAGCTTCGCTTACCTGCTGCACAAATGTGGCAAGGGAACCAGGGACTCCGCAACTGTTGGCGCTGTCTCAAGCTTAGATCGGTCCTACGGAGCACCATATGAACATGTCTCTTTTTGTGAGGGTACGCCTGTTTGGTTGGCTTCCAAGGAAAACCAACATGAACACCACTATTTTGTGGATCCCCTAAAATAGACACTCCTTAGTCTCCATGGTCGAAAGAGCCGATTCCAACAGTCAGGACTGCAAATCAGCTTGCATCGAGCATCGCAAGCGGCTATTCAGTGCTCAGCGGTTTCTGGAAATTGGGTGCTTGCATGCAGTGTCACAGTCACACGCACCGTGGCTAGAAGATCACGCTGGTCCGATTTGTTTCACTCCAGGCTTGACCACCATCCCCTCCAACCCCAAATCAACAAGCGTCTCAACAAGGGCATATACACACATACGCACGCATGGAAGCGCCCAAGACCTGCCGGTTCTCAATTGAGACGCGACAACCCAAGATCACGTCCTGCGCAGCACGTTTCGCAAACCCTCATGCGACCCGGTGACTCAATGATCAGCAAGTGTAGCAGCATGAAAGCCAGAAACTGACAGAGTCTTCGCGGCGATTCTCCGTGACACTTGGTTGCCTCATAGGAAAAGGCCAACAGGGACTCCTTTTTGTTCGCGGCTCCCTTTGGAGAGGGGCATTTCGGATGGTTCAAGGCAAACCCGAAGCAAACAAATTGTGGGGGTTACTTAGCAAGCAGATCTGGCCAAATCATAAGGAACGGCCCACCCACGAAAGTCCCGCACTTGATTGCTCATTTCTGGTTTGCAAACTCCTTAGTAATTTGCCTAGACCTGTAAATGCCAGTCTCGATAGCAACTGGGTATGTGCCAAACTAAGGAGACCCAACAATATGGCCTCTTTTTTGGCGTCCCTTTCAAACTCAGGCTCCGTCTAATTGGTGGTTTGGATTGGTGGTTTCCCGTTTACCTTCAAAGGAGGCAGTTGTTCAAATCCTCCGACCACCAATTCAAGCCACTAAGGGTCACCTTAAAACAAAAAACAAAACTAAAGTCAGCATCCTAAAAAAAAGAAAAGGAAAACATATAACTCAAGTACCCTTTTTCCCACTAACATAGCACCTGCGGGAGGGTACCTGGAAGATCAATTTCCTGCCCCTTCGGTGCACCCGAGGCCTGGCTGGCGAGGCAAGCAAGGCAAGCCGCGCTTGGCGGTGCCGGGTCAAAACTCGAGGTGGCTTTCTCGTTTGGACCCCGTTTGGCCTAGATGTAGCGTGTCTTGTTGTATCTTAGCATTGATCATGACTATAAGTACTTCAGGCAGCTGTTTGTTATGTGGTGGCTCATTCTTTGGTTGTGATGATTTTCCTTCCATGGTCTGCCCCGGTGCTTGGTGCTTGTGGGGTCACGACAAATTGCTGGACACTTGTGTCTGGCTTGATCTCTGGAACATGCATGTGCTCACTAGCTTCGGAACACGCATCAGACCTTCGCGGATTGGAATCCGATCATGCAGTGAATGCTATGGACTGCGAGCCAAGAGGAGACACCGCCAGGAGCCTACATTGCCGGTGATGGAAAGCCCTCGGACGGCAGCAGCTGACCGCCTATCAAAGGCTTGGCGAGACCCCCACAGTTTGTCTAAGAGTCTAACTACTACAAGCTAGAAATCAGCACTCCTCAAGCAAGGGACTTGAGGGAGCTTGTTTGACACCCAAGAGAGCTCGTTCCAATTTAGTAACTTGTGCAGACGTCGTATCCAGTGAAGTTCTCAAGCATTCTGCGGCAACTCGAGCCTGAGAATGGTTGTTCTGAAAGCCACCCGATGATAGCACGTGCCTCATGATACAACTCTCGATCGCCTCAGACTAGCGAATCCTTCAAGATGTTCATTGCTCACACGTTGGCTTCAGGGTGGTGAACCTGATGGTGGAACAATTGAAAACGTCACTCTCCTTGCAGTCTCCTGCAAATTACTCTGGGCACCAAGTCACCAAGTCCATCACTGCGCTGCGAACGCGAACAGCTTGTTTCCGTGTGAAGATTCTGTGGCCAGGAACCACCCATATATCTTGCTACTGTCCGTGCTGAGCTGGTCATATGGCTGTGTGCAAGGGATCTGTTGAGTTCGGTTTTGCAAGGAGACCAGCCATTTGGACACTCCCCTTGTTCACACACACACACACATGTACACAGGACTGGCAGGACTCCATCTGTTGTATTTGATGGGAGAAAAAAAGGGGACACGGAGAAGACTCGGACGAAAAGTGTTCAGCTAAACTTCCGGCCTATCCAAGAAGCTCGTCTCATAGCAGCCCGAGTGAAACATCGCCGGATTTGAGGTTTTGCTTGTTCTTTCAATCCGAAAAGAACCACCTTCATTTTGGACCTCCCTTCCTCCAAAACAAAACGATACCCTCGTGGCAACCTTGAGGGGGCACTCCACGTCTTGGACGGTGCCCGCATTCTTGCCCACAGCTGCGAGGCCGGCCGGGGAACGGAAGCGAACACGAGAAATCAAAGGCAGGGAAGTTTCGCAGGAACTCGGTTGCTTTCTGCTCCCCTGCTAAAAGTGAATAACTTTTAGTGGTTTAATGGAAAACCAATTCGTTGGCAAAAAGTTAAAGTCCTAACATCCCTTGGCAAAATGCACCAAAGGGAACCTTCTGAGAAAAAATCTAATCGAAGGGTTCCGAGGACTTGTTCGGTTGGGCCAGGTCTGTGGTGGACTGCGTATTGGGTACAGACGATCAATCAGCCGCAATGAGCAGAAAACTGTGCTTTAGCAACTCGCCTGGCCTGAAACACCCGCTTGGGGTCTTAGCCAACCTTGGCTTTGCGGTGGTTCCGGGGAGGTTCCGGAGGTTGTGCGCACATATTCCAGGAGGTTTCGGAGAAGTTCCGCAAAGGGTAAATATGTTCTGAGTCCGCTCTGTATGTAGTTGATCCTCAAATATGAAATAGCTTTGCAGGAGACGCCAGCCATGCGTGACATTGTCAGATGAGCAACGGACAAAGATTAGGAATGCTTCCCTGCCAAGGACATTCGAAAGTTGGGGCTGGTTGTGGGAAATTTGGGGTGGTCCACCCCCATGTCCTCCCCAAACCAGCAGTAGACTACCAATGACAAGGTCCATAGCTCAAATAGGGGCGCCGGCTACAACGGGCTATCAAGCCTCCTGCTGTAGGGTATGGCCTTCGCAATAGGACCCCGCTTTGAGTACTGATACTTGTGACTCACTTGCGGCTGCTTGACCAGCCAAAACTAAACATATCATGTTCATCCATCATGACCATACCAAGACAAGTAGTATGTCACCTCGGTCGTGATCAACACCTGGTATAGAAGGAGCCCCCCAAAAACCATGTGCAGAATCAAGAGAGCCGGCACTTCTATTGCCGGTTGGGGCAGTACTCCACTAACTTTCATCCAGCGGGGATTGCCTGATTGTGGATCATAATGGAATCATGTTTGAAGGACAAAGTGCTGCAAAAAAGAGGTTTCTATCACCTTCTATGGCTGAGCGCACACGGAAACAGAGATGCGTGTTTTGAGACCTCGGCGATGAACTTCTGATCAGGCCCGTCCCTCCGAAACGGGGCGACCCGCGGCCTTCGTCTAGCTCCACGCCCACCCAAACCTCGTTGAAATCGGAGGTAACACCGAAGTGGTGATTTTTTTGGCCCAGAACGGACAGCCTTTGAACAGGGGTCCTAACATATTCCCCCTGGTGGGTTTAAACATCACCTTTTGGGCTAGAGTTAAGTTAAAATTAAACCGTCAGCATATGGACCGCAGGTTTGAGTCCTTACTCCATTTACCAGGGCAACCCATTTTGGCTACCTATGTTTGAGGCACTTTTAGTCATTAGTGGTTCACTTTTGGAGGAAACACCCGAGGACTGGTTTATTAATCTGCCGTTCCCCCTCCCTTGCCATCCAAACCCCAAGCGACCACAAGCCAAGCGGCGCCCGCCGCAAACTTGGTGCCGCCGCAAAAGCGCACAGTGCCCTGCCGCCCGGCGACGGTGACCTCGGAAAGAACGCGACGCGGTAGAGATCTGGGCATGTGTCGTTCACACAAGGGACCCCAAAACGGGCAGTTTCCCGTTGGTTTCCCTACAAAACCAACCCAAAAAACGGGTACCTCCAAAAATACATGGCCCTGGAAAAACTCTTCGAGCCATGCTGTTTGGCATGCTGGGGAGTAATGTCAACCCCGGATTCATCAAAGCTTGCGGGATATTAGGGGGTTGTTTTCCACCAAAGTGAAGGATCCTCTTTGAACTGAGACACCAGGAAAAACCTGAATCCTGGGATACCATTAAATCCAAGTGCGGCTTGGCAGTTTTGATCCTTACACGTGCCTACTTGGTCATGAACTTGGTCACTAAGACTTAGTCCTCGAAGCAACAACCACGAAGCCAGCCAACTGAACCACGCCACGTGAAATCACGAAGAGGCATAACTGATGGTGCAGGATGATCCGGTTCAACATGAATAAACGACCTTCCCACCCAACTATATACAACGATGCATGGCAGAAGGTCATCAACCCCGCCTTCTGTTGATTGTGGCAGCCTATGGACCCTCAAGTCCTAAGTCAGCGACATGAATTTGATATCATTCCGCCAGGCCCGAGTCGTTCCGGTATCGACTGATCCTTCAATCGTCCCTCAGGATCGGGACTTGCCAAAAGGGGGTGGTCCGCCTGGGCACAAATGCCTGCAATGGGAACCCTTTCACATCTGTTGCCATCCCAGCGTATCAAACGCATGTATCGCCGTCCATCAAAAACAAAAAATGTTTGGACAAAAATCAGAAATGTTCGTCTTGGCCAGTAAAATGTCGGATGTTGCAGCATTTTCTCGCGAAGTTGACGTATTTTACACTAGACCGTCAACATCCCCAGCATCGTTTTCAACATCCCCCCGCATGTCCAACCAACATCCCCAGCATCTCCAACAAATCGTGGTTGAATACATCTAAAAAGTAGCTGGCGGGTAGACGGGTCGAAAATATGAAGATTCAAATAGGGGTAGAATTCAATCCCTGTAAAAAAACAAGTCCAAAAAGTCGCGGGTAGGTTTGGGGGGGGGGGTCAGGCCCCCTCCCATGATGTTCGAATAAGTGCTGATTCGAGTAATGTAAAAAAAAAAAAATGTAGCAGGGGGGTTGGGGGGGAGGCAGCCCCCCCCCATGACTTTCGAAGAAGTGATGATCCAAATAGTTTATCTAAAAAGTAGCGGGGGGGTTGGGTGGGGGCTGCCGCCCCCCCCCCATGATGTTCGAAAAGGTGATGATTCAAGACAGGGTGCGGTAGAATATAAGAAAACAGCCCGGGGGGGGGGGGGGAAGGGGGGTTGGCGGGGGTGACTTCCCCTATGATGTTCGAAGAACTGCATACATACAGACAGACATACATAGATTACATAAAATGTCGTATTTTACAGCATTGTCTCGCGAAATTTCATGTTCGAACAAGTGATGATTCGAAGAGGGATACAATTCAGTCTGTGCCAAACATCAAAAGTAGCGAGGGCGCAAATAGTGCAAAACATCTAAAAGGTAGCCGGGGGGTTGGTGGTAGAATATAGAAAGAATCGGGGGGAGGGGGGGGGGGGGGGGTGGGGGTGACTCCCCCTATGATGTTCGAAGAAGTGCATACATACAGACAGACAAACATAGACTACATAAAATGTCGTAGTTTACAGCATGTTCTCGCGAAAGTTGATGTTCAAAAATGTGATGATTCAAACAGGGGTGCAATTAAATCGCTGCCAAAAATCTTAAAAAGTAGAGGGGACGGGTGCAAAAAGCTAAAACGCCCGGAGAGGAACTGGGAAAGCAGAGGATGCGAAAAGCTAAAGCCACTAAAAGCCGCAGAAGCCAGCGACAAGCTGCAAAAGCCAAAACGCCGCCTGCCAAAGTGGAACTGGGAATGCAGAGGATGCGAAAAGCCAAAGCCAAAAAGCTAAGAAGCCAAGAATCCAAAAAGCCAAGAAGCCAAAAGCAAAAAAAAAAACGGAAAAAATACCCCTCCAACAAAAAAAACAGCGAGGCAGTTTTCCAGCATCGGAAGTGATTCAGAACCTCCAGTGGGCGCGGCGCAAACGGTGCCCTAGCCAAGCCATAGCTCACAGCTCTCAATTTGGCCATGGGTCAAAATCCAAATCGTACCCCCAGGGAACATCCCAATCCAGCCACGAAAATAGGTTCTAACATGGGTGGTGAATTTACCTACCAATCAAACCAACCAAAATGGTATCCCAAAACGGTTTTGACAACCACAGCCATTTGAGTTTCCGGCCCTCTGGCCGTTGGCAAAGGGCACCTCATCACCTCGGCTTCCGATCGCGGAAGTGGGTTGCACGGTTCCTCTCTCTTCCCCTGGAGGTATCGTTTTGGGCTGGCATGACCAGGCCAAGGCACGCCCATGCGACAGCTCAAAAAACCCAATGGCGTTTGCTGCCGCAATCTACATGACATGTAAACTGACTGGAAGTCCCTGAAAACTTCTGGGGGTCGCAGAGAATCTTCAGCGGCCGAAAACACGTGTCGAAGTCAATGAGAGCGGGTGTTGTAGGAATTCTCGTGGCAATCGGGCAAAATCAACTTGCTCTTACCCACCACCTTTGGCGGCAACTCAAAACAGCATGACCAGCACATGTTTCTCAATGAGAGAACACCGTGAAACTGCTTAAACTAGCTACCCAGCCCACCAACTGGGTGGCCACTCAAAAAAGATTTGACCACAGGCTTCTCTGAGCTTCTGTCACAGTGACCTGTATGATTGCAGCTGTTGCAGCATCAAAGAAGACAAAAGATGCCACGGCACTTGGCCCCGATGATTGGCCCTGCTCTCATCAGCGCCAGCTTCCACCAAGCAGTTCCACGCATTCGGGCTTGCCTTGGCAGCTAGATGCAGAGGCGTGTCTCCATCAATGTCAGCCTTGTCCTTGTCAGCGCCGTGTTCTAGCAACACACGTACAACTCCTGGATGATCCTCCTGAGCAGCGCCGTGCAAAGGCGTTTGCCCATCACAGTCAGCCGTGTTGACACCTGCCTTTGCTCTTGTCAGGCAGCGCACCACTTCCGCATGGCCTTTTCTGGCGGCAAAATGCATGGGCACAAGACCTTGCTGACCGGCAGCGTCTTTCCATGCGCCAGCTTCCAGCAAGATGATTGCAACTTCGAGCTGGCCACACATGGCTGCAAGATCCAAGGGGGTCAGAGTCCGGTGTGTGCGCTTGTCTTTGTCAGCACCGAATGCAAGCAAAGTGCGCACGCTGTCCCACTGACCCTCAGCGGCAGCCGCGTGTAAGGGTGTTTCGCCATCTTTGTCAGCCTTGTCCTTGTCGGCCCCGGCTTTTAGCAGGATCTTCAGGACGGCCTTACGATCCTCAGCAGCTGCCAAATGTGAAGGTGTTCGCCCATCAAAATTAGCCTTGTTCACGTCCGCGTCGGATCTCATCAAGCAGCACACAAGTTCTGCGCAACCGATCATGGCAGCAAAATGAATGGGCACGTTGCCCTCATTGTCTGGTGCCTCTTTATCAGCTGCACATTCAAGCAAGCATTGCGCAACTTCGACATGGCCATGTTTGGACGCGTAGTGCAAAGCTGTTTTGCCTGACTCACTGCTCACATTTGGGTCGACTGGCTTCTCGAGCAGACTCACAACTTCAGCTGTTTGTCCCCGTAATGCTGCAATCAAAAGCTGAGCAGTCTTCATGAAATGAATCAAATCCGGCTCACTTTCATCTGGGTCGTCAGGATAGTACTCTTCCTCCAGGGGCTGCGGCGCCAAGTAATGCGCCTGTGCTGACATGGGTGTGGCTCAAGATTAGGTTTTGCACACTCCAATGTAATGCTGAGCCCTGATTAATAAACCCCCACTTATTATTAAGTGTGGTCCCTTTTTGGTGGGGAATCCTTACAGCCTCCCTGATTAATAACTGGGGGGGAGTTCCTTTTGGTTTCCTTGAAACGGAAAAGGCACGCAACATCTGGGAACACCCTCAAAAACGAATGTAGCATGTGGGGTGGCTTTTTGAGGGTACCTTTCCGGGTGTACTCGAAGGCAAACCTAAAACCAACATTAAGTCTTGTTTTGCGAGGGTGTTTCAAAGGAATCAAAGGAAACTAGATAGGATTGGCTCCCTGTGTGGCCCTATGCCAGGTTTCGACGGTGGCCGGCACATCTGTGCGAAACCTCCGCCTCTGGTTTGATGTAGTCCCGGACAACCACCACCAGCTCCGCGTTCAGCCATTCGCTGGGCCCAACCTCTGCTCGCCGCAAACCAGAGCTAGGCGTCGGAAGTTGGAGACGTTGAGGCGTCGGGACGCCTCGCGCCGCAGCTCGTCGAAGAAGACCTCTGCACGCTGGTTGCCCCAATTTTGATGGAGGAAGAGGTTCTGAGGGAGGGGTCTGACCGCTTCCCGGTTCTGAAGCCCGAGGCGAATTTTGTCCGTCCGACCCCCATCCCATGTCACGCCGCCAAAATCCTTGCTCCAGCTTCCAGTCCGCCTGGGGATGTCCCAAGCGCACAAAGTTGCAAATGTCCACCAGAAACCGGCAAATTCCCCCCAGAACCGGTCAAATTCCCCTCTGAAAAAAGTGATCACATCCCCTCTAAAACCCGTAGAAACCGGTCAAATCCCCCCCTAGAAGCTGATCAAATCACTCCTAGAAACCGGTCAACTTCCAATCCAGACCAATAAAATCCCCTCTCTCCACCAGTCCAACTCCGGCCCCCTCCCGGTCCAACTCTGGTCAAATCCCCACTAACCTCTCCAGAAGCGAATCAAACCGGCAAAATTCTCCCCCGGAATCCAGTCAAATGTCCTATGTGCACCTTCGCTTGGCCCAAGCCCGCTGCCATTCTGTAGCTCTCTCTCTGGCTCTCGTTCTGGCCCTTGCAGCCATGTGGAAACACGCGGACATGCACCCACCCTCTGCCTTACGCACTCTAATAAACACAAGACTTCAAGGCAAACTGAAGCACGGTAAAAACCTCTAAGCCAGCCAAAAGCGGACTGGCCGAGGCGGGCAACGCGAAGCGTTTACAATTAGGCCTAACAAGGCCTTGTCGTCGCCTGATTTGTTGGAAGGCAGGTCAGGGAGTGGCCTACGAAAAATAGACAAAGCCACAAACCCGGCACTGGGGCGGGCTCCAACCCATTTGAGCCTTCAAACCAAATGCTAACATGGCTGCGGATGAGTTTTCGGGGTCACCATATATGAGATAAGAAATGGAAAAAGACAGGAGTCTTCATAGGTTTTCGGGCGACTGGACTCCGCGAGCTCGCGCTGTTTGTTGCCTAGGCTTCAAGCCCAAGACTCCAAAGCCAGGAAAAACCGGGGGTGGGGGGGGCGGGGAGTGGGGAGGGGAGAACCCCCCCGCAGATCAAAAGGTCAGCCTTTTATTGCGCCATGAGTCAAGTTTGCGAGTCCGAAATCAAAAGGTCAGCTCCAGTCAGATAACATCTTCGCTTTGCAACTGAGCTGCTCCACCTGTGTGGGTATCAAACCACGCAGCAAACTCCCCTTGGGTCATCACCTCCCCGTAGAGTCCGCGAACCGCCATTCGAGTCGAGTCAGGAATCGGGGCACAGGAGGGAGCCTTTGGCACTTGAGCCGAGACCTCAGATGTCCTCAATTCCAGGGGCCTCTGGCAACACTTGGTTGACATTGGCAGGGGAGCAACACATCTCAACTTTTAGCAGTGGTTGGATTTCAACAACTAAACCACAATACGCAAAAAATGTAACATGCTTCTCGATCCACCACTGCGGTGCCCAAAACCGGCGGCTTTGACAATGCAAGTGGCTGGCTTTGGTCCTTGTCAAATCTGGAAAGGGAAGCTAAGCCACAGTGAAAAGATCGGCTTTTTGGTGGTTTGGATTCGTGGTTTCCCATTTGCCTACAAGATCCAATGGTTCAAATCCCCCAAACCACCAATCCAAACCACCTCAGGGGTTGCCTGAAAATGTGCCATTGTTACCTGCTCTTCGCACGGAGAAAACACATATGATTCTGCGTTTCACGGTCTCAAAGTTTGCTCATATGTGGCTAGAGCGATCCTTGCAAACAAGCCAGGGGGGGACACCACTAAACAAGACAGCCCGATATGATCTCACGTGTCGGTAAATGAGGGCAAATGTGACCTACACGTGAGAGAGGCTGTATCATGGCAAGCTGCTGCAATCTGTGGCAACCGGGTGCATTCCACATGTGCCCCGGTCAAAATTACTTATTTCCCCAAGAGGACATGGGAAGCTGAATGCGCCACTTTAGCGAGTTCACCAAATGGACCACAGAATGGAAACATGACTGGACCTCACACAAATCGAACTGGAACAACACGGGGCCTGGCGCCCCAAGCAACCACCGCAAGACACAGCCCAAAAGAAAAAGTAGAAAGAAGATTGTCCAACATTCCGCGTAACTGCGATTGCTTGGTCGAGGGTGTGAAAGGGTTGAAGCTTGCCCCAAAAAAAACAAGACAGACGGAATTGCATGTCAGAGTATTGCATCCACGGCACTCATTGTGCGGCGGCATGAAGGTGTGCATCCGCACAAGCAAGCAATTTAGCAAGCCAATGGCTAGCGGAGCGCTTTGCAATGCAAAACCGGACAAAATGTCTCTCAAGCGCAACACAGCCTTGAGACACAAATCCTCTCCCGCTCGCCCACGCTTTATTCTTGTGTCCGGAGTCAGTCACGCAACACCTCCAACACCTGGAATCAGGGCCTGCACGACATTCCTACGAGATCCAGGCTCACTGGTTGAAGAAATGGGCAGTTGGTTGGGGTAAAGATTTGTCAACGCGCTGATGGCGATGGCGCTTTGAGTGCGCAAAGACAGCGTGGCATGTCAAATGTGAAATGCACATTGAACACATACAACGTGTCATGCCATCAAACCTTTTTCACCTACTGTGGTGTTGCAGAAACAGTGTGCCTTTTCAGGCAGGGGCAAGCAAGTGTCTCGTGTAGCCCGACCGCAATGACTGACATGTCGTTGTATTCATTCTTCTTTCACATCCTCAACATCAGTCAGTCTCAAACAATCGGAACTGCAATGGCTCCCCCTATGGTTTGTGTTTTTGTTGGTCCGCCTTTTACGTCCAACAAGGCGTGTCACAGCCCTTGCTGACACCAAACCTTCCGCTGCCAAAGCTCCACCGCGGCCCCATTTGTTTCTCTCAAAACGCAACGGTCTCTGCGCGGGAAGGCCTGCACCTGAGCCCGGCGAAACGAAAGACTGGAGGTTTGGGAGAGGGGCGGTCCCTTAGGAAAAGTCGACTTCCAGGGTGTCCAATACAACTTGTCTACCCCCTAATTGGTGGCTTGGATTTGTGGCTTGGTAGTTGGGGATCTCCCAACCCTCTACAAAAGACAGGGGTTCAAATCCAATCCAAACCACCAACTAAGGGTTACCTGACGTTGTGCCTTCGAAGGGGGGGTCCCATAAAGGGGTTGATCGTGGTGACCACCCAAGGTGACCGAAATGATATGATTAAGACAAAACTGCGACAAACAGCTTGTAGCAGCGCAAAACTCCTTGAAAACGACAATGGACAAGGACAAATGTCCCTCATATCACGGACTCAAAACTGCGGATTCCAAGAACCGACTTTTGGCATTGAGGCCAGGTGTTGCTCTCAAATCTCTACCTCCAACCTTCGCACCAAAAGGCCGGTCCCTGGGCCTCCTATCGAAGTGACGTCATTTGGCTCGCCCTCGAGACTGCGCCCCAAGTTTCCTCCATCGCCGCTCGGGCCGCTCGGCTCTCGGCTCTCGGGCCGCCGCTCGTCGCTCTCTCCGCGCCGGGGGCTTGAAACACCTCGGAGCCGGAGGGAGACGAAGCGCGTCGCGAAGCGCGGGGCGGAAAGGGCGTGAACCTTGGCTGATGTTGGGGGAGCAAAGAACCAACATACTTTTTTGGCAGTTCAGTGGTTGGATTTCAACAACTAATGTTGGACCTTGTTTACTGTGGACCAAAACAGTCCTGGGGATCCTGAATAAGGATTTGGCAGGGAGCTTGGATGACTTGACTATTGCTTTTGGGCTGCCACTACTTGGTTTAGTATTGCCAGCACTTCCTTTTGGGCTGCCACTACTTCGTTTAGTATTGCCAGCACTTCCTTTTGGGCTGCCACTACTTGGTTTAGTATTGCCAGCACTTCCTTTTGGGCTGCCACTACTTGGTTTAGTATTGCCAGCACTTCCTTTTGGGTTGCCACTACTTGGTTTAGTATTGCCAGCACTTCCTTTTGGGCTGCCACTACTTGGTTTAGTATTGCCAGCACTTCCTTTTGGGCTGCCACTACTTGGTTTAGTATTGCCAGCAGCTACTTCTTGGTTTAGTATTGCCAGCACTTCCTGTTGGGTTGCCACTACTTGGTTTAGTATTGCCAGCACTTCCTGTTGGGCTGCCACTACTTGTGGTAGTATTGCCAGCACTTCCTTTTGGGCTGCCACTACTTGGTTTAGTATCGCCAGCACTTCCTGTTGGGTTGCCACTACTTGGTTTAGTATTGCCAGCACTTCCTTTTGGGCTGCCACTACTTGGTTTAGTATTGCCAGCACTTCCTTTTGGGTTGCCACTACTTGGTTTAGTATTGCCAGCACTTCCTTTTGGGTTGCCACTACTTGGTTTAGTATTGCCAGCACTTCCTTTTGGGCTGCCACTACTTGGTTTAGTATTGCCAGCACTTCCTGTTCGGTTGCCACTACTTGGTTTAGTTGCCAGCGCTTCCTTTTTGCCACTACTTGGTTTAGTATTGCCAGCACTTCCTTTTGGGCTGCCACTACTTGGTTTAGTATTGCCAGCACTTCCTTTTGGGTTGCCACTACTTGGTTTAGTATTGCCAGCACTTCCTTTTTGCCAGCACTTCCTTTTGGGCTGCCACTACTTGGTTTAGTATTGCCAGCACTTCCTGTTGGGTTGCCACTACTTGGTTTAGTACTGCCAGCACTTCCTTTTGGGCCACTACTTGGTTTAGTATTGCCAGCACTTCCTTTTGGGTTGCCACTACTTGGTTTAGCATTGCCAGCACTTCCTGTTGGGTTGCCACTACTTGGTTTAGTACTACCAGCACTCTTCTTTTGGGTTGCAACTACTTGGTTTAGTATTGCCAGCACTTCTTTTTGGGCTGCCACTACTTGGTTTAGTATTGCCAGCACTTCCTGTTGGGTTGCCACTACTTGGTTTAGTATTGCCAGCACTTCCTTTTGGGCTGCCACTACTTGGTTTAGTATTGCCAGCACTTCCTTTTGGGTTGCCACTACTTGGTTTAGTATTGCCAGCACTTCCTTTTGGGCTGCCACTGCTTGGTTTAGTATTGCCAGCACTTCCTTTTGGGCTGCCACTACTTGGTTTAGTATTGCCAGCACTTTCTGTTGGGTTGCCACTACTTGGTTTAGTACTGCCAGCACTTCCTTTTCGGGCCACTACTTGGTTTAGTATTGCCAGCACTTCCTTTTGGGTTGCCACTACTTGGTTTAGTATTGCCAGCACTTCCTTTTGGGCTGCCACTACTTGGTTTAGTATTGCCAGCACTTCCTTTTGGGCTGCCACTACTTGGTTTAGTATTGCCAGCACTTCCTTTTGGGCTGCCACTACTTGGTTTAGTATTGCCAGCACTTCCTTTTAGCCACTACTTGCTTTAGTATTGCCAGCACTTCCTTTTGGGCTGCCACTACTTGGTTTAGTATTGTCAGCACTTCCTTTTGGGCTGCAACTACTTGGTTTCGTGTTGCCAGCACTTCCTTTTGGGCTGCCACTACTTGGTTTAGTATTGCCAGCATTTCCTTTTGGGTTGCCACTACTTGGTTTAGTATTGCCAGCACTTCCTGTTGGGTTGCCACTACTTGGTTTAGTACTGCCAGCACTTCCTTTTGGGTTGCCACTACTTGGTTTAGTATTGCCAGCACTTCCTTTTGGGTTGCCACTACTTGGTTTAGTATTGCCAGCACTTCCTTTTAGCCACTACTTGGTTTAGTATGGCCAGCACTTCCTTTTGGGTTGCCACTACTTGGTTTAGTATTGCCAGCACTTCCTTTTGGGTTGCCACTACTTGGTTTAGTATTGCCAGCATTTCCTTTTGGGCTGCCACTGGTTGCCACCACTTGGTTTAGTATTGCAAGCACTTCCTTTTGGGTTGCCACTACTTGGTTTAGTATTGCCAGCACTTCCTTTTGGGCTGCCACTACTTGGTTTAGTATTGCCAGCACTTCCTTTTGGGTTGGCACTACTTGGTTTAGTGTTGCCAGCACTTCCTTTTGGGCTGCCACTACTTGATTTAGTATTGCCAGCACTTCCTTTTGGGCTGCTGCTACTTGGTTTAGTATTGCCAGCACTTCCTTTTGGGTTGCCACTACTTGGTTTAGTGTTGCCAGCACATCCTTTTGTGTTGCCACTACTTGGTTTAGTATTGCCAGCATTTCGTTTTGGGCTGCCACTACTTGGTTTAGTATTGCCAGCACTTCCTTCTGGGTTGCCACTACTTGGTTTAGTATTGCCAGCACTTCGTTTTGGGCTGCCACTACTTGGTTTAGTATTGCCACCTTTTGGGCTGCCACTACTTGGTTTAGTATTGCCAGCACTTCCTGTTGGGTTGCCACTACTTGGTTTAGTA